CAACTTGATATGCATAGCTAGAAGTGTACTCACCACCTTAGCCTTGTCCATTTGAAACCCTTGAAATACTTTTTTGATCTCTTTTCCTGTGATAACCACAACTTCTTAGACATGTTGTCAAGATTATCTTCATGCCAAGAATTTGTCTTGCACTCATTCATAGTAAAAGCTTGCTCCATTCTTGATTTAACTTCTTGCTCCTAGAGGCATTTTAACCAACAATAAGTATGACATCAACATATAGCAACAAAATAACAAATTTATTACTAGAAAATTTCTTTACAAAAACACAGTGGTTTGAAGAAGTCTTTTTGTAACCATTCTATCTCACAACAACTTTAAACTTCTTATACCATAGCTTAGGAGCTTGTTTTAATCCATACAAGCTTTTTTTTCAATCTGAACATGAAATCCTCTTTCATTTTGACTTTGAAACCTTTTGGTTGCTCTATATAAATCTCTTTATCCAAATCACAATGGACAAAGTAGTTTTCACATCCATCTGATAAACCTTTAAATTAAGACATGCTGCTAAACCCAACACAACTCATGATTTGAGGACACTTTTATAACTAGAAAAATAGTCTCACCAAATCAACTTCCTTTTTCTAATTAAAACCCTTAATAACAAGTCTAGTTATATATTGTGGAACTAAGGTGTTATCTTCAAGTTTCACCTTAGAAACCCTACCATTCAAAAAAAAAAAAAAACCTTGTAAACCTATCAATTCTTCAAAACTTTCCTATTGTTCAGTAACTTAATTAGATCAAAGGTATGATTATCAAGTAAAGATTTCATCTCATCTTTCATGGCTTTAAACCATTCATTTTGTTGTTCCCTTTCCATGGCTTCTTGACAACTTTCTAGTTCCTATCAATTATAAGTACATGCTCACCAAAAGGATAATGAGATGAAGGCCTTCTTTTCTTGCTAGATCTTCCAAGTGGATTTGTTGGGATCTTTACTGAACCTCTTATTGATCATTCACAAATTCATTTAATGAAGCATCTAAATCATCTGCATCTACTAGATCATTTTGAACACAATCACCATGTATAATGCCATCTTAGATTTCATCATTCTAGGGATGATTCTCTGCCATATTTGGTGCCATAGTTTCAATAATTAGCTTAAAATTAACCGAACTCTCATTGCCTTGAAGACTTATCTTCTTTGCCTTATCAATATCCCCAATAGTTCATTCCTTAAAGAATACTACATCATGACTACTGACTAATCTTTTTTCAATTAGATTATACAATTGGTAGCCAAATTCATCTTGACCATAACCAATGAAGATACATTACTTGGTTTTAGCAGCTAGTTTTAGCCTCTCATCTTTAGGGACATGCATAAATGCTTAACATTCAAAGACTCACAAGTGATCATAAGAAACATCCTTGCCCAACCAAACTCTATCAAGAACATCATTATCCAAGGCATAACTGAAGACAAATCAATAACATTAGCCACTATATAAAGTGCTTCAACCCATAAGGTTTTAGATAATTTAGCCTTAGCAAGTAAAAATCTGACTTTCTTTACCAATGTTCTATTCATCTACTAGGCTAAGCCATTCAACTGAGGAGTCTTGGAAGGTGTTTTCTGATATCTAATAGCTTACTCTTTGCAATAGTCATCAAACGATCTAGAATATTCACCATTATTGTTTGTACCGATACCCTCTAATTCCTTGCTTGTCTATTTTTTAACTAAGGCTTGAAATTGCTTAAGCACATCAAGTATTTGATCTTTGGTCTTAAAGGCACAAACCCAAAGCTTTTTAAAATGCTCATTTATAATGGTGACAAAATACAGTGCAACATTATGTGACTTAACTTTCAATGGTCCACACATATCAAAATGCACAAACTCTAGTAAATGTAGCTTTCTTGAAGGAGGATAACTTTTGAAAGAAACCCTTTTCTATTTCTTAACCAAACAATGAATATATTTCTCTGGAAAACACATATTTCTCCAATTTTGCTTCCTTTATTCAAAAAGCACATTCTTCTTGGCTAAACAATCTATCCTTTTCTCACTTAAATGATTAAGCCTCTTGTGCCATAACTTTAATGAATCATCTTTTCCAACTACATTCACAAAGACCCTAAAAATAGACTACTATATTCTATATTAAATATAAGTTGAAAATCTTAGTACCTCAAGTAATAACAAGGGAACCTTTGATAAGTTTCCATTGTCTATCATTGAAAGAACTACAATGATTATTATCATCTAACTTTCCTACAAAAATTAAATTGAGTCAAATATCATGTGCATGTTTGACATCCTTAAGAACCAACCATATGCTATTGTTGGTATCTAAGCAAACTATTTCCATACCAATCACCATGATCTAAGTATCATTACTCATCTTTAATGTCCAAAATCACTAGAAGTATAAAATGTGAAGAATTCCTTCTTAGGTATAACTTGGTATGTAGGACTAAACTCCACAAATCCAACTTGTCTCATGGCTTGTGGAATTAATGACATTTTCATCACAAACAAAAGGATCATCTTTAATGGCAATAGCAACATGGTTCTCATTATCATCATCTTTCTTTTTTCTTGCCTTATCTCCTTTCTTAGTTGAAAACAATATTTCTTAATATGTCCCTTTTTACCATGGTGAAGACATTTAAGATCTTTATACTTCAACTTTGATCTATTTTGCTTTTATCTTTGCCTTTTTAACCCTTACATTTGTTTCTCCCCTTGTCTTTAGTTACTAGAACGTTTGATTGTGAAGTCAAGGAAGATGAGGACTGATCAATTCTACTCACATCTTCATTCAAGACACTTGTCTTAGCATATTCCATAGTCATAACATCACTAAGAGTAGCATTGGTCTATGAAAGTTGAAAGGTTTCCCATGAATTAGCCAAAGTATTATGTAGCCAATGCCTTTGTATCTCATTATCAAACCTATTACCCATGCTAGACAACCTATTAAGGATGCCCTAGAAATCACTAACATGATCTAAAATAGGACTTCTTTCTTTGCACTTCAAATTTATCAATTGCTTAAGCAAGAGCAACTTGTTATTGCTAGTCTTTGAAGCATAAAGTATCTCAAGCTTTTCCCATAAAGTCCTTGTGTATGTCTCATTTTCAATGTGATTTAAGACATTATTTTACCCATTGCCTTATGTAGCCACACGCCTATTGGTGCTATAAAGTACACTCTTCATCAATCATATTATCTAGTTTTTGAGTCTTAGACATTGGTAAATGCATCTTTTTAACAAATACAAGATTTTTCATTTTGACATTCTACTTTTAATAATCTGCACATTTTAAACAAACCACTTACTCATATTAGCCTCCATATTTTAAATAGATCTTTGAAAAACACCAAGCCTAACATTCTAATATTAATTTGTTGGAAAGAATGCAGTGTTGCCTTAGTACAAATAGAAACAAAAACGACACAAATTTTTTTTCTAATCTAGCTAAAATTGTTAGGAGCAAGCTAAATTGAGTTCAAATAAAATATAAAAGCAACTAAATATGCAAAATAACAAAAAGGTAAAACAATCACCACTTGAGATACAAAGATTTTTACATGAAGAACCCAAAAGGGGTAAAAACTATGAGATATTTAGTATATAAAAAAAGTTCTATTATAATCAAAGAGAGTACATAATATCCCCATCTAAAAGGTACAAAACCACACCAAACAAGAGGAATAATAAGCCATATAGCAACAAAGAAAATGGGACCACGAAGAGAGAAATATCACAAAAAATAAGCTGTTGTTCTAGGCATGAAATCATAAGCTACAAAATTCTAAATGAAAAATTGATTGTTTAGATTGTAGATCAATGTCTCATAAATACCTAATCAAAATTTTGGGTTTAATCAAAAGGTGAACTTTTGCGAATTGGATAAAATAACAAAATTGCACACTATATCAAATCTGCTAAAATTCTCATTTTCTCCCTTTTTTTTTACACTATTAGCTCCACTCTTGTATTTGCTTATCACCATCCTAAAAAACAAACCCTAGTTTTGTGTTTATGGGCTTCTAAATGTTGGATTAAAAGGTGGGCTTATTAAGGGCTTACTCCATCAAACTTTGGTCATTTCTCCACATAGGAGTGATATGCCTCAACCAACAAAATTCTCAGCCAAGAATGCAAAGTTTAGTACTTTACACTTGTTCTCAAAAATTCTCTATTGGTGTAATATTTATCCCTTATCACCTCAAAAGATAAGGTGCCATTATTATGCATCATCCTTTAACCTTATTTAGCCAGCATGGCTAAACTAAAGATCTCAAAATTGCAAGAGTCCCACCCCCCTAGACTCCTTGACTAGGCTCCACCTCAACCAATGCACCTTGTTTTTCTTTACACTATCTCATTAGCAGCCTATTAAGTAGTTCAAACTATCTAAAATGACATGGAAAGTGTTCGTATATTTGGGTTAAGGGGAGTAGAGAGAAATAAAAGTTTTTTAATTAATTAAATTATAATACTTTTAAATATTACAATCTAATTACCATTCCCTTCCTCTCAACTCAAATATGGAAAAAACCAACATTGAGCCCCTCACCTTACAAAATTGGTAGGTTTTAGCCCCTCATCTTATAATATAACAGTTTTAGCCCTTTATCTTATAAAGTTGGTAAGTTTTAGTCCCTCACTTTACAAAGTTGGTAGGTTTTAATCCCTTACCTTATATTATGATATTTTTATCTCCTCATCGATACGAATTAAAGAAAATAGCCCTTACCTAACATTAGGGGTTATAATGTTCTGTTAATTTTGTTAGTTGACTATTAACATCCGTTAACATTCCATTATAAAAAACATAAAATTTAAATTCAATTTTATTTGTTAATTCCATTAACGGAATTCTAACAAATACTAACAGTCAACTAACAGAACTAACAGTCAGCTAACATAACTAATAAAATATTATAACCTGATGTTAAATATGGAATATTTTCTTTAATTCGTATAGATAAGGGGCTAAAAGTGTGATAATATAAGGTGAGGGTTAAAACCTACCAACTTTGTAAGGTGAGGGTTTAAAACCTATCAACGTTGTAAGGTAAAGGGTTAAAAGTGTCATATTATAAGGTTAGGGGCTAAAACCTACCAATTTTGTAAGGTGAGGGGCTAAAAGTTGGTTTTAGCTCTCAAATATAGGTGTGGCTATGGCACCGGTTGCTCATGGCCCGAAGGCTTTCTCTCGACAGAAAAATTTCCCATTCCCTCTACTACTTTGCTGCGAAGATAACGTCTTTTGGATATCCTGCTTCAACCGACAAGTTTTTCAGACATTTCTCTTCTTTATTGACTCTTCATCTCGATCACAGTTTCAACGACGAAATCCTCTATTACAGCTTCTACCCAGATTCTTTTTATGCTTATTTAATTGATAATTCAACTCAAAAAAGACACTTGAATCAAATCCATGCCCGGTTACTCGTTTTGGGATTTCAGAAAAGTGGTTTCTTGATCAAGAAGCTCATAAATGGTAGTTCAAATATTGGGGAAATCGGCTATGCCCGTAAGATGTTTGATGATTTTGCCGAACCTGATGTGTTTTTATGGAATGCTGTTATTAGGGGTTATTCAAAGCATAATATGTTTGTTGATGCTGTTGAAACGTACTGGAGGATGCAATTCAATTGGGTTAGTCCTGATGGGTACACTCTCCCTCATGTGCTCAAAGCTTGCAGTGGCTTGCCAGCTCTTGAAATGGGTAGACAAGTACACGGGCAAATCTTCAGGCATGGGTTTGAATCAGATGTCTTTGTTCAAAATGGTCTTGTGGCCTTCTATGCCAAATGCGGCCAAATTGCCCGAGCTATGACTGTGTTTGATGGGTTACATGATAGTAACGTTGTCTCTTGGACCTCAATTATTTCTGGGTATGCTCAGAATGGCCAGCCAATGGAAGCTTTGAGGATTTTCAGTGAAATGAGGAAAACGAATGTGAAACTGGATTGGATTGCTCTTGTAAGTGTTCTCAGGGCATATACTGATATAGAGGATCTGAATCATGGGAAATCTGTTCATGGTTGTGTGATTAAGATGGGTCTTGAATTGGAACCTGACTTGCTCATTGCTTTGACTGCTATGTATGCAAAGTGTGGGCAAGTAACAACTGCCAGATTGTTATTTGATATGATGAAGATTCCAAATGTGATTTTGTGGAATGCCATGATCTCTGGCTATGCCAAGAATGGTCATGCTGAGGAAGCTGTAGATCTTTTCCGTGTGATGATTTCTAAAAACATCAGAGCAGATTCCATAACAGTGAGGGTTGCTATTGTAGCTTGTGCTCAAGTCGGTTCTCTTGATTTATCAAGGTGGATGGACAATTATATCAGTAAGAGTGAGTATAGAGATGATCTTTTTGTGAACACAGCTCTGATTGATATGCATGCGAAGTGTGGAAGTTTAGACATGGCTCGCACAGTTTTTGACAGAACACTTGAGAAAGATGTTGTTGTCTGGAGTGCCATGATTGTGGGATATGGATTGCATGGACGGGGTCGAGAAGCCATTGATCTTTACCAGGCTATGATGCAAGCTGGAGTGTGTCCTAATGATGTCACTTTTATTGGTCTTCTCACCGCATGCAACCATTCAGGACTTGTAGAGGATGGATGGTGGATTTTCCATTGTATGAAAGATTATAAAATTGAACCTCGCCACCAGCATTATGCTTGTGTAGTTGATCTTCTTGGGCGTGCTGGTTATCTGGATCTAGCCTATGATTTTATTATGAAAATGCCAATTGAACCAGGTATTACTGCATGGGGAGCACTTCTAAGTGCTTGTAAGATCCACCGCAATGTGCAACTAGGCGAGTATGCTGCAAAGCAGCTTTTCTCACTGGATTCATGTAATACAGGGCATTATGTGCAGCTCTCTAATCTCTATGCTTCAGCCCGAATGTGGGATCATGTGAGAAAGATACGCATACAGATGAGAGAGAAAGGACTAAGCAAGGACCTTGGTTATAGTTTGGTTGACATCAATGGAAAACTTCAAGCATTTCGTGTGGGAGACAAGTCACATCCGAGATACAAGGAGATCTATGAGGAGCTTGAGTCATTAGAGAGAAGGTTGAAGCAGGCTGGATTCATTCCACACATAGATTCTTCCTTGCATGATCTGAATAATGAAGAGATAGAGGAAACGCTTTGCAATCATAGTGAAAGGCTTGCTATTGCCTTTGGGCTAATAAGTACTCCCCCTGGAACTACACTCAGGATAATAAAGAATCTGCGTGCATGTGTTAACTGTCATGAGGCTAGCAAGCTCATTTCAAAGCTTGTTAACCGGCAGATTGTTATGAGGGATGCTAATCGATTTCATCATTTTAAGGATGGAGTTTGTTCTTGTGGAGATTATTGGTAAGAAAAAAAAAAAATTACAGGCTCTAGACATTTACCTAAGTATTCTGATAAATTTTTTTGGTTGAACTCACAGTAATGAAGGTTAAACAGAAATGCTTCGTGAAAGCCGATTCTGTATTGAGAAGAATTAATTATTTCAAACACAAATTTTTGTTGTCAGTAATAGTTTTATTATTATTATTATTATTATTATTTATCTTTTACTTTTTCCCTTGTTTTCGCTTTGTTCTATGCAGTTAAGGGCGCATCTGGTTCGTAGGAAATTATTTATTTACTTTCGCCCTTTTCACTTGTTTTTTTGTTTATCCTACTCCTTCTGTTTCCACCATCCCGTTATATTAGAAGCGAAAATGTCAGCCCCTCAACTTATAATAATGAAAGTTTTAGCCTCTCATCTTTTAGGCCTAAATGAAAACACCCAAAATGAACGACAAACTCATCTTGAACATTAATATTTTGTTATTCATTGTCATGGCAGTGCCAATGTAATAATTTATTGCCATCATGGATTGCCACCATGGACATTGACAATAAAAGCATGAAAACTTCTGTTTACTCCTAAAATGAGTCATATCTATCTATCTAGAAATTAAAAATAAATGGAAAATGATTTAAGAATAATTTTTTCATACAAATTTTTATGTAACTTTATGTGTAATTTAAATAATTGATTTATTTATTTATTTAAGAATTGCAATATTGAGTGCATTTATTTATTTAATAACATGTGAATGTACTATAAAAAGATTGTACAAAAAATTGTCCATATATCACTTTTCAAAAATAAAAATATATAGAAATATTGAAGCTTTCACTTTAATATAAAAAATGAAATTATGAATTATGAATATTCAACTCTATTTGATGATGTTGTTTGATGGCGTGAATATAACTTCACATTAAATATAAATGTATACTATAATTAAATAATCTATATATATATATATAAAATGCTACCCTATGCATTAAATAGGGTAGCATTTTATATATATTTAATATATAATAATATATATTTATTATTTATTATAT